TGTTTTTGATACATCTAATTAAAAATGGCTTTTCACTTCATCCCTCTTCCACGTGGTGTATGGGAACAGAGGCGGGGGTGAAAGGGGGGCATTGTGCGGAGCGGCAATGGATCCTGGGGGTGAGGAGAGAGAAAGAGATGCCCACTCAACTGTGTCCAGGTCGCCATTGTTGGAAATTCCCTTCCTATTCAATGCATTTTAAATAGGGCTCCGAATATTCGGACGCACCGACAAAGTGACCGAGCCGCAGGGGGTCTTTACTCCAGCAGCCCTTGCAGTTATAGTCTACAAGCTGCCTGACGTATTATCTCATCCCATCACCTTCCTTATCATCTCCAATTTTTTTTTTTTGCTTCCACACCATTTTTAAATATTTAGCCTATAACCACCTTTCACATCTGGTGAACTTTTTACATGCATAATCTTCCACTATTCCTTTTGATAGGCTACTTGAGCTGTTTTATATTTTCTTAGGTAACCTGGTAACAGTTACAGTCTATTTTTTTTATTATTTCCCCGTGAATCAGACGATTTGTAATGTCGCCTATTTAGATTTCACATAAATCTTAGTAGACCTGCGGCTGCCAATACAAAAAGGTGTCTCGTTCTCAAATACTCTCAATGGGCGCACTAAATTTAGTGTAGTCATTAAGTTGTTTAAAACAGACAGATGTCAGAATGTTGAGGGGGATACACTCCCTTTTTGCATACATTACAGGCGTATGTGAAAATATAAAAAGTGAGAAATTTCGTATTGATATATAACTCAAGTTGTCTAAATTACTAGAGAGCTATTAGCATTAAGAGAAACGCAAAAGAGGGATAAAGAAAGAAAAAGAGACGGTGTTCCGCGCCATTGAAATGCAAATGTCAGAACAAGGAGAGATTGTATTTTTGTGTGAGTGTGTGTGTGTCTTTGGAGAGGAGGGGAGGGGGTCTGCAGAGTGGACAAGTTTGAGAAAGAGGGGACTTGTTGAGGAAAAACAGCCACACACGCACTCGCCAGTTCACACAGCAACAGCGGACGACGTTATGGTCCGCTTCAGGAGCCCACACGAATTTTAAGATTTTTATTTTTATTTTATTTTATTTTTTAACTAACTCTTTCAAAAGAAGCCAATGTAGTCTTAACGCATCCTGCAAGGTGGATTATTTACGAACAAGGGAGTTCGGTATTTATCTATTCAAAACCGGTTTTATAATTTGCATTGCAAAGTTGGTTGATGCCTGTAACTCTCACCGGCTGCTCGTGAATCATGTCACGCCGGAAACAGAAACGGCCCCAGCAACTCGTTAACGCGGACCCCGGGGGCACGCGCTTGATGCCGCAAGGTGAGGAAATCATTCCTTTGTTAATTATTTGTTACCCTGGACTAAAATTGATAGTGATGCTTCATTCTTTTTTTAAACGCCTTGTTAATTAAAAAGTTTTGCATTTTGGTTATATAGTAGTCAACATTTGAAGTGGATCAAATTCACATAAATCTTAGTAGACCTGCGGCTGCCAATACAAAAAGGTGTCTCGTTCTCAAATACTCTCAATGGGCGCACTAAATTTAGTGTAGTCATTAAGTTGTTTAAAACAGACAGATGTCAGAATGTTGAGGGGGATACACTCCCTTTTTGCATACATTACAGGCGTATGTGAAAATATAAAAAGTGAGAAATTTCGTATTGATATATAACTCAAGTTGTCTAAATTACTAGAGAGCTATTAGCATTAAGAGAAACGCAAAAGAGGGATAAAGAAAGAAAAAGAGACGGTGTTCCGCGCCATTGAAATGCAAATGTCAGAACAAGGAGAGATTGTATTTTTGTGTGAGTGTGTGTGTGTCTTTGGAGAGGAGGGGAGGGGGTCTGCAGAGTGGACAAGTTTGAGAAAGAGGGGACTTGTTGAGGAAAAACAGCCACACACGCACTCGCCAGTTCACACAGCAACAGCGGACGACGTTATGGTCCGCTTCAGGAGCCCACACGAATTTTAAGATTTTTATTTTTATTTTATTTTATTTTTTAACTAACTCTTTCAAAAGAAGCCAATGTAGTCTTAACGCATCCTGCAAGGTGGATTATTTACGAACAAGGGAGTTCGGTATTTATCTATTCAAAACCGGTTTTATAATTTGCATTGCAAAGTTGGTTGATGCCTGTAACTCTCACCGGCTGCTCGTGAATCATGTCACGCCGGAAACAGAAACGGCCCCAGCAACTCGTTAACGCGGACCCCGGGGGCACGCGCTTGATGCCGCAAGGTGAGGAAATCATTCCTTTGTTAATTATTTGTTACCCTGGACTAAAATTGATAGTGATGCTTCATTCTTTTTTTAAACGCCTTGTTAATTAAAAAGTTTTGCATTTTGGTTATATAGTAGTCAACATTTGAAGTGGATCAAAAAAGTTCATCAAAGTTGTCCTAAGACAAGAACACATTTTGGTTTTAGGTTTTAGGACAACTTTGATGAAAGGTTTTGATCCACTTCAAATGTTGACTACTACTGTAGTTTACCAAGAGCACCTGTTACCCAAAAATATTTTATAGCCTATGCTTTTTTTCTTTATTGCTTAAAATAGGATCACTTTAACACCTGAAGGATTATGATACAGGTTAAAATGCACTGGTGCGTTTGGCCCTCTACTCAGTGAGCCATTGTTTAAAAGCTGCAGCACAAAGCTCACATTTCTGCCATGACCTGACTTTTTTTTAAAAAATAGGTAGTTTGCTGACATTTCCCGCTCAAAATGTCTGCTAAATGTGTTGTATTGAAAGAAGGCTCTTGAAGATATGGCCAGAGGGTTGGTCTAAAGGTGTTCAGCCGTATGGCCGGTCATTATGTTGACATGAATCACTCAGGGGCCATAACTGCGTTAGCTTTTCACTAATGTCAATCCTCCAAGAGACTTGCAGCATAGTCAGTTTGATTGCTGGGGGTCTTTTATGCATTTAGAGGAGTCTCCTATTCAGTGTGAATAAAGTGCAGGCAAGGGGGAGGGGACGAAGGGGGTGTTTGGGTAAAGATTAATCTCTTCTCACTCTATTCTCTCCTCTTCTCCCTTATTCTCTCTCTCATGTTTCCATGTGCTCCTCTTTTCTGTTCTCGCCGTGTTCCCCCCTTCCCACTCCCTTGCCTCTATTCACTTTGTACCTCTGCTCAGTTGGGGGTTCCACTGTTAGAATACAGAGAGAAGAAAGAATGCACCGTTGCGTGTGTGCATGCATGGAAGAAAAAGTTAGCTAAGGAATCTAAAGGATACTGCACCTTTGTAATTCGATTTCTATAGCTATTGGCAAGAACAGGTAGTAAATTGTGAGGGGATTTTTTTTAGGGTTGAGGGTTTCTGGTGCATTTCAGCAGATTAGATTCCACAAGTATGTACAGTCATTTTGTGTATCAGTATGCCAGAGAATGGAAAAAGTTTGTCTGTCAGTCAGCCCACTATTTTCCCAACCCCCTTCTAGTTCTTTTTCTGCGCTCAAGATTCTAAAAGAATTTGACCTTAGAGCTCATGAGGTTAGGTCATCTAGCCAATCAGAGCGCATGGACAGTGCCCAAAACCCTTTCTATGCCCTGACCTCTGACCCTGTGTGGGGTCAGGGGGAAGGGTGAATAGAGAGATGAAAGATGTAGTTGATGGACAGAGGATTGGGTTAAGAGGGGTTATGAGTTGTTGTGGTGATATCTATTGTCCTCTAAAAAGCGTTGCAATAGCTGCAAGGTGGTTAGTGAGCTGTGGCAAGAGTGAGGACAGAAGATGTGAGTGTGGTATATGAAGGTTGTGATTTAAGGGTGAAAGATCATTAAGAATGTGGAATGACAAATGGTATTCAGTGTTTTAGTGAAAGAAAACTTGACAATGGAGCTGGCCTAAATAGGAAGGCTTTTTACAACAATTAATATATAAATTTATTTATAAAATAATGAAACGATGCCATAACAATATTATGTTTTCAAATAATTGTCTTTGTCTGATAATAAATGCTATATACTTATAAACTGATTCTTTATTTTCTTTATTTTCCAGATGACCAGCTTCTAGTGAAATCTCCATCCACCTCTCTTGCCTCTGAAGCTACCTCGTCATCTTTGTCCTCCTCTCCTACATCACTTCAGGACTGTCAGCCTCCTTTGGCCCCAAGACCATCTCCTGGTGGCCTTCACGCTCCCTCGCTCCCAAATGAGAGCTCATCTCCTCCCCACTGGCCAAATCACATTGCCTCATATTCTACATCTCTGCCTAATGCACACTCATCTCTCTCTCCGGATTTCCCACATCCTTCCCTGTCGTCCCAAACCCACTCTCCTCCCCCTAGCCAGCAGAAATGCACTTATATTCCATCTCATCAGCCCCACTCCACTGTGACGTCCCCACCAATGGGTATTTCTGCAACCACCACTACCTCCTCTTCCTCGTCTTTATCCTCTTCATTGTCACTGGGTGCCCCACCTCATCAAGGAAGTCCTAGTCCCATCCACCAAACTCCTTTATCACCTTCAGAGCAACTCCAGGTGCCTCCGACCCTCGCTGTACTGTTAGAAGAGCTTAGGGTCCTGCAGCAAAGACAGATTCACCAAATGCAGATTACAGAAGAGATCTGCAGGCAGGTGCTGCGCCTAGGTGGTATGGTCAGTGCCCAAGATGCACCTCAGGGATCTGTGGAGGGTCAACAGAGTGATGCAAGCTCTAGCTCCCCACCTAATACTGGTGCTTCTTTAATTCCCCAAGCTCCTACATCCAAGCCCAACCAATCTCACACAAATGGATCCAGAGCTCCTTATTCCACAACTTCATCTTCGACATCTTCCTCATCCTTAGTCACCTCTTCAGCCTCTATGCACCCTCTCTCTCTAACACTAGGACTTCCACCTCGTTACCTCAATGAAAAGTCTCCCAACACCTCCATCAGTCATGGCAATGGCGTGAATTTCCCAACTCCTCCCTTGACCACGGTCAGCCTCTCCCAGGACCAGCTCTCAGCATCTCTCAGTTCCACTATTAGTATGTCAAACGGATCGTCAAGCTCCTCTTCAGGCCGCCAGCAGCACATCTGCCGGTTCTGTGGGAAGGTTCTAAGCAGTGACTCCTCATTACAGATCCATCTGAGATCCCACACCGGTGAGCGTCCATACCAATGTCCGGTCTGCCTTAGTCGTTTCACTACCCGTGGCAACCTCAAAGCCCACTTCCTCCGTCACCGTGAGCAAAATCCAGAGCTGTCGCTCTCTCTCTTGCCACCTGCTCTGTCTGAGCAGAGCCAATCAGGATCTGGCTCAGGGCCATCACAGAGGCGCAGAAAACGTCGAGCGGAGGATGAGGAGCCTTTTGGGGTTAAAGGTAGTGTAGGTGTGCCAGATAGTTTAGCTCGTGGTTTCCTGTCCGGGTCATCTCATCCATCTCCCTCCTCCCTTCCGTTGCCACCCAGTGTTGATCTGGCCCTGCTTTCCACCGCCCACTCTTTGCTACAGCTAAACCGTGCCTCAGCTGCAGCCGCAGCCTCTGTTTCCACTAGTGTGCTGTCATCTTCATCCATCACCTCCTCTGCAATGACTGGCCAATTCAAAGGTGCAAAGCAGCAGAGGTTTGATGAGAATACACCGCCACACTCCACTTTACATCCTGGTTCTCCATATTCCCAGCTGGCACATCTTCCAAAGATTCTCTTCCCATCAGGCCCCTCTGCCCACCATCCTAGCCTTGCCCTTCTTCGCCCTCCTCACCTCCTTTCCCCACACCTCCCACTTACCTTCCCTTTCTCCTCGTACCACAAACCTCAAAACTCCTCTCCTCCCTCCTCCTCTCCATCCTCATCCTCCGCCACCTCTGACACCTCCAAGCTGCAGAGACTGGCGCAGAAGTTAGAGAAGCAGCCCCTCCCAAAAAGCACCAATGAAGGCCAGGCTCAGGCTAATGACATATCCACAACCTCCAACGCTAATGTTATCTCAGCTTACAGGAGGGAGATGATGGCAGCCTTAGGGCTGAACCCGAATCCCAGCGGTGAGCCTGCCAGCCAAAAGCTCCAAGGGTCAACTGCCTCCTCTTTGGTTCCTAATCAGTGCGGGGTATGCCTCCGTGTCCTCAGCTGCCCAAGGGCATTACGTCTCCACCAGGCCACTCACTTAGGTGAACGTCCATTCCCCTGCAAACTCTGTGGCCGCTCCTTCTCCACAAAGGGAAGCCTAAGGGCTCATCTGGCCACACACAGAGCACGTCCAGCCAATGCACGGGGCCAGAATTCATGCCCGCTCTGTCACCGCAAGTTTACCAATGCTGTGGTACTGCAGCATCACATTCGGATGCATCTGGGGGGGCAGTTGCCTCCGGAAGGTAATGGGGACCTGCAGTCAGAGGAAGACCCTGGTCAAATGGATGGGGTTTCTTTACCCAAAAATCTTCAGTCTCTTCCTCTAAATATGAGCATGTCTTCCTCTGCCAGCTTACTGGAGTCTGGTGCTAGCCTAAGAGATACTGCATCAGGTGATGCAGATCAGCTCATGGAGTCAGATCAAGATCCCTATGACAACACACCTGAGACTAGTCCAACCGTCACCCTGGAGAAGGAGGGCCCCTCAGGAGAAAACAGTCCACCTGACAATTCAGATGAGAACCATTATGGCACAGTCCATCAGAGCAAATCTCAAGTTGTAAATGGCTCTGCAGAAGAGGATGAAGACATGCCTTTATCTCTCTGTACCCGGACCAACTCCCAGGACACCTTATTTGATAAAAAATGGCACAATGGTGCTTCACATCAAACAATGATTAGCGGGCCAAAAGCTAGTTTAAACTCTGAAGCTCTCAATCTGTCACCTGCCCTCACTCCACCCTCCAGCCCAGGGTTGTCCACTGAGTCAAAGTCAGACCAAAGCAGCGAGCAGACAATGCTTCATGTGAATGGAATCGACCATGTTCTTGAGCCCAATGATGCTGACTCTCACCAAGCCACAGAGAATGCTTCTTTGCACATTCCAGACAGAGCCGTAGATCAGAAGGGGAAAGCTAAGGATTCAAAAGAGTCGGCAGAAGAGGATCAAAGGAAAGATAGAGAAAAGACCGAAGTGACATCATCAGAGACCCCTGTAGCCCCTCCACAACCACAGCGCTCAGAGAAACCTTACAGCTGCACAGAGTGTGGAAAAGAGTATGCTAGCCGCAGTGGATTGAAGGTACATAGATTAATGTGCTATTCTGAAAAAGATGGAATGTTAGATGACATTTATATCTATGAAATATTCATTAACAACCTGTGATATCATGTTTATGTTAGAAACAAGACTTATAGCTTCTATGTGTTTCAACAGGGGCATATGAAAATCCACAGCGGAAGTATGAATCAGTTGGCCAGTACTGCATCCTCACAGTCCTCTGAGGGAAAAGTTGTGGAGCGTGCGGAGGAGTTGACCCATCAAAAACTGAGAGGAGAGGATGCTAAAAACATGTCAGAGAAAAGTACAAATAAATTGTCCTTGTCTGAGCATCCGGTGTCTACTACTGACGACAGGCCTGAAGACACTGCTTAAAAGAATGTGATTAGTTAGGTTTTAGCACTATTCTTGTTTACTGATTTCTGTGTCAACTTTTTTTTTTCCAACTTTGTGGTTAGGAGTAGTTTTTAATTGTTTGATATTGTAAAACATTAGTAAATCAGTCCATATGTAATAGTAGTGCCTTTTCATGAAGACAATTAAATCATATTGATAAAGACTTGGTCTTTCGACTTCAAATATCAGGATGCACAGAAATTGGATCTTGAATATAGTATTTGTGTATAACAAATGACAAGCAAATTAATTGTGTGTCTAAGTGCAATTTCAGAAATCAATTTGGAACTTCAGGATACTCGTAAAAATACATGTAAAACATAAAAAATATATATAATTTTGAGCAAAATCTAGGGAAAAAAGGGACTGACCTGATGTGTGACATGAGAGAGGATTATAGGGATCATACCAAAACTGATCAACTGATGTGCAGCTGAATGTAAATATCAATTTTGTTTTATGTACCCTGTTTTTATCTACTTTTATGCTGCTGTACTTTGTAGGTATTTCTCTAAATAGCTGCACTATATCTGTGACTGCTGAAACTCTTATTGACAAGGGAGGTTTAAGATGACGATGATGGGATTGAATTGCTGAGAGGGTCAGATTTACTTTCTGCACAATGCCTGTTCTTCAACTTTCTTTATTTAAAATCCCCACTGATTTGTATGTATTAAGGTTTTTTTTTATTGTTGACTATGAAAAACAGCAAATCATATTAGTTTTCACAATGCTGCAGATGAGCAAAAGCAGCTCAAAATTGCTAAAGATTTAAAGCTTTCAATATTTTTGTAATCTTGAAGGTTGAAGCAACTTTGTTGGCCCTGTTGAACTCTAACAACTTTGTGTTGTAATTTTATTGGATGTAATGTGGTCCTAACTTGTCAAAAAGAGAAATAAAGTCCGAATGAATGTCTCAAGATTTGTGCTTTTGTTTTTTTAATGTATGTGCATTATTTGAATTGCATTGAACACAAAACTGCCACCTGTTAAGCTATTTTCAACATCCGACAAGGATTTTTGTTGTTTTTTTTTTTGTTCCAAGGCACAGCAACTGTCTTCATTCCCCCCCCCCCCCCCCTTTAAAAAAAAAAAAAAAAAAGTCTGCTTCCTTTAATGTTTTAGTTTCCCAGATTGGTGGTGTGCATGTTGATGGCAGTATGTGTGTATGTTGTGTGTGTTTGTTCACACACACACACACATATTTGTGTAATGTGATTGAGTGTGCAGCTGTACAGACTTCACTCCCTCCCCTCAAACACCCTCTCGCTTTCTGTGTCATGCTCTCTTTCATATGCTCGCTCTTTCATTTTCTCTTTCATTCTTTGCCTCTTTCACTCTCTTTCCTTCCCACCCCCCCTCCCTGTGTAATGCGGCTGACACACAGGAAGCTCTAATCCTCGCACAATGTCCCCCCTCATCCCACTTGAGCGTCTCTGCGCTGGATGAAGGGGAGGTGGAGACCGACCTGGCCAGCTGTCCCTAAAATGGCTCCTAATCCTGCCTCTGCCAGGCCCTCGAAACCATGACAACCTGTAACCAAGGAGAGAAATTCTGAGGTTGGGAGGGAGACGAACAATGAGCCAGAAACAAGGCATGTGGTAGAAGTTTGTCCACATGCATTCAGGAAGGGATAAAGACATGTCTCAATCAAAAATAAGGAAATCTTCAGGAGACAGTGCCAAATATGCCAAAATGTAGTGCCTTATGAGGCAAGATGTGATGAATGGTTCTAAAAAAGAGCAGTTGTCAAAGGTCTTTAAAAGATGAATTTATGAAATCATGTAAAGTAAAGCTTCTTTCCATTTAGACTCATAAACCAGTAACCCCACAATATATTTGGAAATGATTGTACAACTGCATTTTGTCTATGTTTATACATGATAAGCATATTTAACTTTTATAATGTTTACTATTTATGTTTGATTTTTTTTTTTCATTTATGGCATTTTAATAATTATCTTGCAATAATCAAGTTCCAAAAATAAATACTAGCAAAAAAAAAAAAGTTGCAATAATGAACTAGATAACATTTAAAGTTGGCTACTAAAGTACCAGTAAAAACAGCAACAATGGGAAATTGTACAGATGTAGATGTAGTGTAACATCCCATTTTAACCTCACGATGGCGACACATACACAGGTGTGTACTGTAAATATTCAAAAGTAGTTGCAAGCACTCATTTTGCAGTAGTTGCAAGCAACACATAATTTTCATATATGCTATATGGGGAAATACAACATTCAGTAGGCAAGATGGCTGAAATTCAAACCAATCCTAAAAAATGTTTACAACGGTTTTTTCTATTCATTTTTTAGAAAAGATAAATATAAAAAAATATGAATAGCCTATAAAACCTCTCCAAAACGATGGCAATAATATCATCTTATTTTTTCTTTTATTAATTTCCATTCACGTAGACGACTCGGGGCTTGTCACACGTTTTACTCTATATTCCTAGCCTATATTTTTATTTTTAAGTATTCTATCCGAGAAACCAATAGACATCCATATTCAATTTCAGGCTATATGAATTTTGTTTATTATTATTTTTATACAGTACATATTAATACTTTGAATTAGCTTTTATTTTCATATTTTTTTAGTCATTTTGTCATGTAGGCTACTTTTGTCATTTCTATTCATTTTTTAACATTTATATAGCTCTAATTTGTTTTCAGTAGTGGAGTATTTTAGCAGCTTTCAACTTTCAGTTAGTTGCCAAGGCAACATTTTTAATTTTCATTAAAAATTTTTGTTTAGTTGACGTTTTTCATCTAATATTTATATTTGATTTTATTTCAGCTAGCCTATATATCAATTAAAGATATCGATTTTTGAATCGTTTTAGTTTACTTACTATAACAGCAGTGCTTTATATTCAGACAGCTTACCTTAATGTCTCGAGTACAAAATGTCCTTCATTTTGAGGTCTGTTTATATGGTATTTATCATAAGTTCATCCAGACGCTCATTTGAATGGTTCAGTAGTTTAGAGACAGCTGTGCTAGCTGTCTCTTTTCTCCTCCCCTTACTCGCTGTCTGTGTTTGCAGTCTGTATTTGACTGAGAGCAGAAGTTCATCAATCTCCTTCAAACGTCTGAACGGAAGGGAACTCGAGCGCGAGCTGTGACAGAGACCATATGACTGAGCTCTCACGCGGCGAAATAACATGCACTGCACACCGACTTCGATCGTGTCTACGAAAATGAACGGCAGATAAAGCATCAGTACAAGCTGCATCCTGATGCCAGTTCAGCACCTGGAGGAAAAGGTAATGCAAACCGTTCCGCTCAGCTGTACTTGCCGTCATTTAAAGCCAGAATTATTATTTCATAAAGCTTTAATTACATAGACCTCATTGTAAAATGCACATTGTATACTTACAGGTTTTATGGACAAGCTTACTGTATGTACATTACAATTTTCTTTTCATAGATATCGCAAGTAGTTTACACTACAGTTTATATAGTGCACTGATAAAAAAAAATCATTTTCACTTAATATTCTGCTTTACAGCAAGGCTATGGTTGCTTAGGCTGTAACCTTGAGTGATTTTGTTTTATAGTTGTTTTTTTTTCAGAGTGCTTATCAGCATGTCCTGAACCTTGCTCTCTGGTCCCTAAAGATCTTGCATTGGTGTGGCTGTTTAATTATCACGTGCAGTAATTGCCTACTGTCCACCCACTCATCTCAGTTCTTTAATCATCCTCTCTATCTCTTTTTGTCTTTCCTGAATGCAGCTTTCTTCTTTTGTGATAAGACCTTCCCAACCATTACACAGGGCAATTAATCAGATCTATACCACTGCTGGAGTTAGTGTGTGAAAGGTGGGAATGATTCTAAGGGCCAACAGGTCTAAAATGGCATGCAACAATTTTAAATTTTAAGTTTGAATTCTACAGTTTCAACTACCTTTTTAAAAATGTGAATTTAAACAATCAGGTGACCCAGAATTCTACAGCCATAATGTATAATGTATAACAATGCAAAATTCCCATTCACTTTCCATTCAGAATTCAGGATGTCATTAAATCTTATTAGTTAACCTATGCCAAAATTATGCCTTGTCAGTGTACAGTTTGGCATAGTCGGCAATAATGGCTCTCAACTTTGAGCTTCAAAAATACAAGCTGTAAATGAACTACTTATGTTCCTGTATGTGCATGTTTTTAATATCGTCATGTGAAGACGTTTCGCAGCCTGTGCTCTTGAGCGTAGCTCTTTTGAGTCCATTGAACCTTGAGGAGCATGTGACAGATCAGCATGCTGACGCACCAAGAAGTCTCCATGCTAAAAGTGAGAGAGAGATCAAACGAGAGAGAGTTGAATTGGACTTGACGTATTAAAAAGCCCTCCATTTGGTCTTGGGTCTTGGTGGACTAGAGATCAGGTGGATCAATGTCCACGTCAGGGATGGTGATTGATTAAGCCGTTGGCTAAGACACACAATCCTGTCTCACGCAGTAAGGAATATGAGCAAGCTGGATGTTTTTCTTACATGTAGACCTTTTTCTCTGTGCGGCTCTGTTTACACACCTTTAAAAAGCCATTTGCCATGACATCTAATGGATCTGTAATAGCCATATGTACGTTTGAAAAGCAAGAGTGTGTATGTGAGCTCTTTATGACTGCCCTGTTTCTTTGGAGATTATTATATGAGCGTGCATGTGTGTATAAATACTGAACACTCTTCTTCTGTTTTCCCCAGATGTCACCTAAAGATCTCAAGAACTAGCTGGGAACTTTGCAGAACTTCCTAAAACCCTTGTAGCTGACTGTAGAACTGGTTTAGACAGTCTTTTTTGTATCATCCAACCCATCGGCCCTTTAAAACAATGGCGTCCTACAGCCCTGAACCCACGGAGCAGCAGTCCTCAGAGGTGTCCAACGGAAACCTGAAGGCAAGCAGCTCGCAGGAGTCCATGAAACTGAAAAAAGAAATATCTTTGCTCAATGGCGTATGTCTCATCGTGGGAAACATGATCGGCTCCGGGATCTTCGTCTCACCCAAAGGCGTACTGATGTACAGTGGCTCCTATGGGTTGTCTTTGTTAGTGTGGACAATTGGTGGGATCTTCTCGGTGTTCGGGGCGCTCTGTTATGCTGAGCTCGGGACCACCATCACCAAGTCAGGTGCCAGCTACGCCTACATCCTGGAGGCCTTTGGAGGCTTTTTGGCTTTCATCCGTCTATGGACTTCTCTTCTGATCATCGAGCCCACCAGTCAGGCTGTGATAGCCATCACCTTTTCCAACTACATGGTGCAGCCCATCTTCCCCACGTGTATAGCACCCTACGTGGCCAATCGTCTGCTGGCTGCAGCCTGCATATGTGAGTTGATGCATGTGGATGTGTGTGTATATGTTTGGGAGTTTCTCTTGTAGGTTACCTGTGAAGGTTTGTGGACCTCAAGTCTTTAAGAAGAAAATTTGAGCTAAAAGAATGAATCACAAATCCACAATCTATCATTCCAAAACCGTATGATTTTTAAATTTTTTTTGCTTCAGTGGAACACAGAAGGAGAAATTTTGAAGAATATACACCGCTGTTCAAAAGTTTGGGGTTCTGTAATTTATTTATTTATTTTTTTTGAAAGAAGGATGCATTCAATTAATCATAAATGCTGTTTATCTGAACTTTATTTTCATAAAAGGATCTTTTAAAAAAAAAATGCATTATGGTTTCCTCAAAAATATTAAGCAGCACAACTGTTTTTAACATTGATAATAATCAGAAATGTTTTTTTTTTTTTTGAGCACCAAATCAGCATATTAGAATGATTTCTGAAAGATCATGTGACACTGAAGACGCGTAACGGCTGCTGAAAATTCAGCTTTGCCATCACAGGAATAAATTGCATTAAAATACATTAATATCAAAATTAATATTTTAAATTGCTATAATATTTCACAATATTACAATTTACTGTATTTCTTTCTGCCTTG